AATGTGGGGTGTGTGGGAGGCAGCCAATCAATGATTCTCTCTCGTCATTGATGTTTCTATCTCTCTCTGCCTCTCCCTTCCTCTCTGAAATCGATAAAATATATATATATATATATTTTAAAGTCATTGCATACCTGGCATGTGACAAGCATTGTGCTATATCAGACATTTAGAAGTGATAATAGCCTTATAGCAAAAGCATCTCCAGAAAAAATGATGCTGGTATGGGAAGCGAGGAAGTGGGGCAGGGAATCAGTTCACAGAGTATTTGATCAGTTGATTGAAACTCTGGGTTTAAAAACCCCAGAGAGGTGAATTAGGAGGAGAAGTCTTTAGGGCTTGGGGGCTTGGAGACTTGACAGGGTTCCTTTAGATGAATAATATTCCAGGCAGGCAGATAGAGTTACTGACAGTTTGGAGCTGTAGGGTCCCTTAGAGAGACTCTATCCAGTCCTTGCAGTTTACAAACAAAGGAAGCTTGGTAGTGGCTCAAATTCAGTCCTTCTGATTCCAAGGCTACTGACAGAGCTCAGACTCCTCGAAGCAGGAAACACCATGTATCTCATTCCTACTAAGGACCAAGAGCTGTACTGGCCCCTTATGCATATTACTAGTGTTTCATTTCACCCCCACCACAGCCATAGGAAGTAGGCTACATCCATATTGAATTTGAGAAAACTAAGGTTTAAAGAATTTAAATAATTTGTCTAAATCCTAGAACTGGATAGAGGCAGAGCCTGGATAGGAAAGAGTCTGTCTGACCTCGAGGTTCCTGCCCTTGGTTTCTGATTCATAATTTAAGCCCACATCCCTGTACTGGTGACCAAAGGTAAAAACAACAACTATTTCATATTTAAGTGTTGAACATATCAACCCAATCCACTAATAAGGAAACCAGGATCCACTCCCAGCACTATGTAAACAAAGCCTTTGATCTGCTTCTGCATTGCCCCACGGCCCACATGGGGGAAGGTCTGTGAGCTGCCAGGCCATCCCTCTTAATTAGAGGGGACCCCAGGAGCCTTCACATAGCCCCAAGCTATTCTGAGCAAAGTAAACAGGAAACAGAAAAGAGGGAGAAGAGAGATAAATTCTCACTGACTTTAAAAGATTTATGCTGACAATATCCCAAGGAGCTTATGAAATGTATTTTTTTTTTTTGGTAGAGGAAAGCTGCTGATGAAGAGATAGCTCTCAACTACAGAGTTTCATTGAGAGTGAAAATACTTTAAGTTCTGTCTCTTATTGATAGTCCAGTTGCACAAAATAAAATTCATATAAACATCATCTCACATATTAGAAATGGAGGAATCATCCATCTTCCAGTCATCTCTGAAAGAGTCCCATTATTGAGGTACTGAATTACAAGGACAGAATTTACATGTTTTCACACCCATGAAGGAGGAACAGTGGTGCTGTAAGACCCCCATGTCCTGGCATTTTCAGCCTCATTTTCTCCTGCTGGGAACTTGATTTTCCCAGGTGTGTGTGTGTGTGTGTGTGTGTGTGTGTGTGTGTGTGTGTGTGTATCTGTGTGCACATGCGCACATGCATGTAAACTTTTTTTTATGAGAAGGGGAACACCTCCTTTATTTACCTACATTCTTTCCTTCAGAAGCTCCAAAATTGGTTTCAGTCGACTTTCCACCTATTTGAATACATCAGATACAATCTCAGACCAGGACACCTTATGTGTGGCATGTATGGCTTTTTCCTAACCCCAGACCATGACTCCAAAATGTCTGGAACAAGATTCTGACCCAGAAGTGATTCTAGAACTCTCACCTGCTCTGGCCAGATACACTAGTACAGTATTGAAAACCCCAGTCAATCCCAGAGTCTGTCCCCAACACAATACCTTTGCTTAAAATGGTAACATACAAGGCCATCATGTTTACGTTTAGTCATGCCTAGTGAGAACTGGTGGAGTAGGATGCAGTTGAGTCAGTATTGACCCCCTGTCTCCCACCATACCCGAGTAATCTTCCTGCAGCACCACTCTGATGATGTCACTGTCCTGCTCAAAAACCTCCTCTGGCTCCTTATTCTTCACAAAATAAAGATGAACATCTTCAGCCAGGAATTAAATCTCTATGGTCCCCCACCCCCCACCCTAGCCTTTCTTATTCCCCAGCCTTCTCTTCATGTACTCTACTCTGTAGCCAAGGCCATGACACACTTTCTGCATTTATGCCTCTCAGATCCTGCACTGTGGATTCTGCCAATATCTTTGTTTTTCTTGCCCTTGAAGACTAGCTCAAAGCCTGTTTGTGTCTTGTGACTTAGAACCTCTGCTTTTGATTGCAGTTACTGCAAACACCTCATCATCCCTCCTGGACCTGATGTTCCTTGAAGGCCAGAACTGTGTCTGGTTCATGTCTGTGTCCCCAGGGCAGAGCCAGTGCTTGAATCTTTGCTCAGAATAGGCATCCATTAAATGAACGTTGAGGGCAGAGCGAGTGGGTAAGGAAGCCAGTGCACAAATGGATTTGGTTCAGGTCCCATCTGCCTTTCTTTCTCCTTCCCCATCCCTCTGAGTTCCTGAACTACACAACTTGGCCACAAGGCACCCTGGTCATTTTTTAGGATAAAGGATACAGTGGGATAATGAAAAGGGAAGAAGGGAAAGAGCACTGGTTAAGAGTTCAGAGACCAGAGGTCTGGTCTGGACTTCCTATTTAAGACTTTGAATAAGTCATTTTCCCATTGTGATCTCCAGTCTGCTTCCATAGAAAAGCAAGAGCACTATATTATATGCTCGTTGAGTCCTTTTTAATTCTGAATCTTTGATTCTAATTCTTTTATTTTACTTCCAAGCCCATTATAAGAATGTCTCCCCCATTGTAAAACAGAGTAATGATATAGATTATTTACCAAGGGTTGTAGAGCAGTTTCAAAGGCCCATATGCCATGCTAAAGCTTCCTAACATTACAGAGGACTCAGTTTCCAGTATATGCCATCCAGCTCAGAAACAGTCTTGTGCTGACCTCTCCTGATTTTAACCAAAAGTAACATTCACCTACCTTCAGAAAATAGCAAATCTCTAATCCTGACACAATGCCTTCTCCTTGGACACTGCTTTGCTTCTCATAGGAATACCCCCTTTTTTTTATCTGCATCATTCTCTATTGAGGGGTGCTAGTTCATTTGCCTACTTGGTAAGTCCTGTTATCTGGAGAAGGAGACTAATTTGAGGTGCCCAGAAAGAAGGGGGGGGTGGGTAAAAGGCTGAGCTGAACACTCGTTAGCTGGTTCCCACCGGAAGTGTTGGAGATCTTGTTGGAATTGGCTTCCACAGCCAAGGAGCAGCATCTAATGGTCCAAAACTGCAACGCAGAAGAGTGGCAAGTAAACTAGTGCACCAGAAGGAATGCCTGGAGCAGTAACAGGTGCTGTGCTCTTATGCTGACAGTAACCACCAGGAATACAAGTTTCTTGTCTGTCACTGGCCACTGCTACTGGAATTAGGGTTGGCTTGCCCCAGAGGGAAACTCGGCCACAGGCACAGCACTGGGTGGGGGTGGGCGTGGGGGTGATGAGTTTGTAGGAATTTCTTTCTGGAGACCAGTTGCAAATTCACATGGCTCATAGACCCGAGAGCAGAAATGAATCTTCAGAGATTTATAGGTTCAGCCAACCCTTCTCACCCTATTTGATAAACAGAAAACTGAAACCTGAGAAAGTCACTGCTTTGCCCAAGTTCACTCAGCAAGTAAGCAAAGGAGCAGGAGCCAGGATCTTAACTACTACCTTATAAGTGACCCAAATACTTCCTTCCCAAGCACACGCCTCTCAAGGAAAACCTTGAGCCGGTCATAACTATTTGAGAACCGAGAGCTAATGCATACATTACTGGGAAACTGAATTGGCCAACAATAAATTGAAACTCAAGCTGGCTTGAATGTGACATGGAGAACTTAGTCAGCTCTGATTTAAATTGTGACCTAAAGGGTGGCCTAGATGCCAGAGTCCTGGTTTCTGGGGTGTGGAGGTACCCTAGACTGATGTTCACAAGATGGCACTCATGTCCTGGCTCCACTAGGCACATTTATGGAGGGAGTAACTCGGTTAGACTGTCCCCCTAGACCAGTATGTAAATCTATAAGAATGTCTTAGCACTTGGGTTGGGTTTCTAACTGTTCACCCTGTGAGGATTAGGTAATACACACTATTCTTCCCCTGTTTCCTATGGGGGATTTTGTTAATTGTACCTATTGGCTGGCAAAGAATCTGTGAGCTGTCATCTCTACTTTAACTTCGAAGACAGTAAAATCAAATCGTTGTTTATTTAATAGGTGCTTCCTCCCTGCCTAAAACTGGGTGAAATGCTCTCCAGGATTATCTCACATAATCCTTGCATCCACCCTTGAAATAGAGGTTTCCATTCCCATTTTACAGGTGATGAGCCTGAGACTCAAGGACATAGAGCTACTAAGTAGAGGAGCTAAGGTGAGAACCTTGGTGTGCCTGATTATAAAGCCCCAGTCCTCAGTCACCATTCTCTTACATCAGGTTTTAGATTTTACAAAGGGAAGAGATGGGGAAGAGGGCGGTGTGTGCAGAGAGTGGTAAAGGCCTCCAGCATCACGGACTTTGATGCCATTGGTCTCTAACACCTGCTGCAGAGGTGCTGCTGGTCCACCTGTCTGGACAGATCTGAAGAGTCACTTTCCTTGTCTCTTGGCAGGCTCCTTCCTCCTCCTCAACACCTCAGCAAACTCCAAGCATACCATCTTGAGCCCGTGGATGAGGAGCAGCAGTGAGCACTGCAGGCTGGCCGTCTCCGTGCACAGGCACCTGCAGCCTTCCGGGAGGTACGTCGCCCAGCTGCTGCCCCACAATGAGGCTGGAAGAGAGATCCTCCTGGTACCCACTCCGGGGAAGCATGGGTAAGTCCTTGCCCATTCCAGATCTATTTTATTGAAGACAACTTGGCTTTTGGCCGAAAAAGTTCAGAGTCTGTGACATCTACTTAAAGCTCACAATTGCTCTTTAATGGGTAGGGGTCAGATTGAGCCATAACTGCTGCTATTCTCTGGATAGTGTCTCGGGCCCTGGTCTGTGGGGCCCTCTGGCTGCCCAGGCTGGTGGCCTTCCAGAGGCCAGAGGAGCAGCTGGCAGAGTGGGCATTTAATGAGTGGGTGTTAAAGATATTCATTTCCCAAAATCCAGACAGAGCCAAGGAAAAACAGCCAAGGGGAGTGTTAAACGGCCGAAATGAAAGTAATTTAATGTGCTGGAAAGTGGGTTTTATTAGCAGAACTTTGGTGGGAAGGGAAAGAGCAAACTATTGTAGCCATCCTAGCGGGTCCTGCAGGAGCGTGGGACCTAGAGCAGAACTGATCAGGGAGACCACACAGTATCATTCTCAAATCAGTAGAGACTGGAACAACCTTTGTTCTAGAACCTCTTACCCAATACTGAAGTGACACCCAATACTCATGTCAGTGAACTCTAGAAGATACCTGCCTACTTCCTGATTCAGTGTGCCTCTAGAAGTGGTGACACTGTGCAGCACTCCCCCTGTGGGAGCTCATTGACCACCAGGGGGCAGCTCCTGCGTTGAGCGTCTACCCTCTGGTGGTCAGTGCACATCATAGCGACTGGTTGTTCCGCCATTTGGTTGATTTGGATACTAACCTTTTATTATATAGGATAAGGATGAGAGATCCTTCTTTATGGCATGTTTACAGGAGAAAGATCTCAAATTTCTAGCAAAGCTTAGACTTTGGACTTATTTGAGAAAATACCTTGCAGAGGGTTCCCATCTGAACGAGATGTTACCCATCCTCTACCTCCATGGTGTGCTAGGCTGGGGGATGGTGGGTTCTGCCTATTGCTTTCTCAGTAAAGCTGTATGGACTGTTTAGTAATTTCTTGAAGGGGAGATCCATAGACTTCTCTGCTGTATGGAGGAATGCTGCTTCCATGGGCATCTTGGCAAACTGTAGTACACAGGGACGTGTCCAGCAATTCAGAGAGCTCTGGGTATTTGTGTAGAGCTGGATCTGGGTTGCTCAGTCTTGGCATTATTGACAGCTAGAGCCAGATAATTCTTTTCATCAACATTGTCTTGTGCATGGTCCCCAGCTTCCCAGGCTTCTACCCACTAGATGCCAGTAGCACCTTCCGTGGTTGTGACCAAAAACATGTCTCCAGACATGGCCAGATGTGCCCTGGGAGATGAAATCATCCCCAATGAGAACCACTGAAATACTGAAATAACCAGAGCATTTTAAATCTGGGAGGAGCCATGGGATTTATCTGGTTCACCCTCGTCAGTTCACAGGTGTTGGAACTGGAATTGAGACCCAGGAGAAGGAAGGGACTTGCTCCATGTCACATGATGAGTGTGTGTTGGCAGCAAGTGTCTTGAGCCCTACAATCAAGTGTCTTGCCAACTGCTGTACCAAGTCCTGGGTTACAAAGATATGTAATGCCCAGTCCCTACCCTTGAATGATAATAACTATAACTATTACTAATACTTATTAAGCACTTCCTAGATGTGCTAGCCAGTCACCGCTATACACCTTACATGCATTTTTTTAATTTAATACTAAACAACACAATGAAGCAGAAGCTAGTATTAGCTTCCATTTTATAGATGAGGAAATTCAGTGTGGTCAAATAACTTGCCCAAGGTCACTGACTAGACAAAGTGGAGGGGGTCTGAACCTTTTTACCCATTGCTGGAAAAGCTCAATTAGTTCACAGTGGTGCAGCAGAAAAAAAATTATGCTGTGAATCAAAGCCCTGAATGTAAGTCATAGTTCACAATTCAGTCATTAGGCAATGAACAATCATTTATTGGCTATTTTTTATTTATCAGAATTATAGAGGCATGTAAGATACAAAGGCCAGCCTTTGGTGGTCCACCAAAGGATGTTCCAAGAAAGAGCTCTATGACTTCAGGCAAATCCCATCCCCTCCCAAACCTCAGTTTCCCCATCTGTAAAATGGGGATGATGATGCTGGTCCTACTCACATGTTGCTATGGGGTCAATGCAATAAAGGGTGTAAAGGGTTTTGTACACACTGAGCAGGATGCAAACGTAAGAGGCCATTAATACATTAGTTGGCTCTGTTCTGCTGAGAATTTTGACACAAAAGATTGAGACTTGTCTGTTCTCTGACTATGGGTCAGTGTCAGTCCCAAGAATCCTTTGGTTTTGAGATCTTGGACAGTTTGCCTCTTTGGAAGCTCACCCCTTTTAATGTCAGAGATGACACCAACAGCACAATCCTCAGTGTGGCAAGGGGGACACAGTGAAATCCTGATGGTGACAGGGATGATTACAAATGAGGCTGGCTTCTTCTTAGAACAGAACATGGTGGCTTGGGGACTGCTATTTGGAAAATGACATTCAGTGTTTATAGTAATAAGGGAAGAAGTTGTCATAGCAAAGTCATCTTGGGAGAGCCTGACACAGAGGCGTGGGCTGAGGAATGACAAGTCAGAGAGGCTACCCAGTCCCCGGAAGCCATGAGTTGTGAGCAGACAATGTCATGGGGAGCAGCATCCTGCTTGGAGGCACTGGCGTCAGGGAAGGCATTTGGGGAATCCCAGCAGCTCTGCCTTCCGCCTCTTGGAAAGCAGCAGGTCTAATGAATCACAGAGTGAGCACATGTCTGCCAAAATGGCCTGGCTTTGGCCAGGATCTCCTAGGGCACAGATGACAAAGAGAGTGCCCAGCATGTTCACCTGCTCACCTGGCCAGCCAGAATGGCCGCAAAAGCAAGGAAGCAGAGAAATGGGATGTCCAGTAGCCCAGCCCCACTGGCCACAGAATCCAGCAGGCACAGGATAGGACATCTTAACTAAAAATTAGAACCCACAAAGTTCCCATTAATTAAATGAATATGATAATACCCTACTTAATACGGTGAGTTGTGAAATGGCACAAAGAAAATGTCTCACAATTTGCCCAATTATAGTAGACACTTAATATGTGCTAGCTGCTTTCCAGGGCATACATTTATTTAAAAACCATGGATTGAGCGCCTCCCGTATAATAGGGGCTGGGAACAGACAAAGACAGCACAGGCACAGCTTTCAGGGAGCACCCAGCCCAGTACGGAACACACAGGCAAGCGAGCAGCAGCACATGCTTGTACAAATGTTTTCAAGTTGGGACCCAGAGATATTGAGAGGCTAAGCTAAGAGCAGCGCCAGCAGAGCCAGCACAGGATGCCCAGCTCCTGCTCTGCCTCCTGCATGTCCCTGCCTCTCTGCGGAAAGCTGTTTCAGAAAGAGCAGCCCAGCAGTGTGAAGCCCATGCCTTCCTGGCCTCAGAAACAGACTCAGGGGCTGGTGGGGTTTCCAGCTGCAGGAGCGACTCTCCAGGGCTCCTCCCAGGACATCCATCGCAAACTCTTCTTCCTCTCCGAGCACAGGGATTTCTCCTGCAGCAGTGGGTGTCTGGGGACTTTATCATGGATGACCAGACTACACAGGGTGTGGAGGGAAGAATTGGGCCCTGAGAGGATAGAACTTGCCAATCATTTGAATACTTGAAAAGGTGTTTTAAACCGATAGGATTTGGTGATACTCGGACTTGAGCTGAGATAAGCTGTCAGGGCCATTCTAGCACAAACACGGCTGGATCCAGAAGGTGGTAGAAAAATGAGTGTCCTCGGCACACAGATTCACCTTCCGCAGGATCTCAACCCTACACTCAGAGGAGACTTGAGTTCCCTTTTCCCCAATGATTTCCTGATTGGGGGGAACCAAGCCTAGAGGCAGGATGTGATGTGATGAAGGTCAGAGTGCACACTCCGGAGCCCAGCCCTCCTGTGCTCTGTCTCCCGGCTGAGCAGCAGTATCTAGAAGTCCTGACACTTATTGCCCTTAGACTAAAATCTGCAGCAACCTCCCCAGGGGAAGACAACCCAAAGTCAGTGTTGGTTCTCACATGGCTGCCACGTTTATGTAAACCAGTCACTTCTGACCCAAGACCCCAGCTGTAAAACCAGCAGCAATCTTACTGGGAGACCTGCCAGAGGAATCTAACGCAAAGTGATTCAACCCAAAGGGTGTCAGGAGATGAAGTTTCAGCCTTGGTTCCGCCACTAATTTGCAGCGTGGCTATGGAACAACCACAGCCCTTCCCAGCCTCGGCTTCTTACCTTCTAAACAGAGCTCCCAGCTGCTCTCTGCTTCCTTCTTTCATCCTACAGTATCAGCAACACCCTCTCAGGGTGCCAGTCAGGACTGGGGTAGCAGGACATGACTTTCCCCGCCCAGACTCCGCTCTTGCCCCTGCCCACCATTCTGGCAAACAGGACAGTTACCCCTCACTGACCCACAGAGTCTTTCTGCCACTAGTGTACAGACCCTGAAGTCTCCTGTGAATAGACCAGCACGTCTCAGCCGGCTAATGAGGAAGAGGCTCAGGATAGGGCAACATGGAAAGAGGCCACGAGGAATTTGCTTCTGAAAAGATGTCCGACTGCCTTTGCCAAGCTACGTTGGGTTTAACTCCAGTTGGCCCAGAGCAATGTGGCAAGTCTGGCCAGTGTGGGAAATCAGAGGCCTGTGGCCTTCAACATTGTTCAGCCCAAGTCCTCCTTGCATCCTTTTTGCATGATAAACGGGTCGGATATAAAGAAGGTGATCATTTATTGAAATTGATGCCCTCGAGTGGCAGTGTCGCAATGATTTAATTTCAGGCCCAGCATTTTCTCACTTTCAAAGTCATTCACAGTGTCAGCTTCTCTCCTTTTCCCCTTGGTCTGAATAACACACTGATAAATATACAATAAGGGCTTTAATGTACGGGTGATTTACACTAAAAAGAGAAAGCCATTCAAAGGCTTTAAAGATAATTTTTTAAAACCTTAACACTCACACCCAGGCTTGTCAAGGGCAGACTTCTCAGGCAGGGGGAC